GTTCAATACTTATTTTACCCGCTGTATTATAACAATTTATTTTCTGAGCTGTGTCAAACACTGACTGAATAAACAAAAATTGTGGATTTCTCACACAGTAAACTTGGATATTTTTATAAAATACAAAAAAAATCCATTAGGCAGCTGAATGTGGGGAAATCAGATGAAAATAATAATATATGATTTTTAGATGCCAAACTAACTGCAAAACTATTATAATAATTACAATTTATTTACATTTAGAATTTATGATTTTTCTCTGATTCTTTACTTTTTGCTGCAATGCAGAGTAGTATATTTTATTTAACCAGGAAATTGACTCATTGAGATTTAAAACCACTTTTCCAAGAGTGACCTGGCCAAGACAGCAGCAAAAAAATAAAAAAATAAAATAAAACACACAAAAACAACAAATCCAAATTTCAAAACACAAAACCAAGAGACACCACATAACTAAACTTGAGGGCATCTACAGGTGCCAAGTGATCTGGTGTCTCTGTCCTTTAAAACTGAGTTGAACTGTCCCAAGGTAATGAGAGATAACTTCAAATCCTTCTGTGTTTTATTCCAAGTGGCAGGAACGGAAAATCTAAACTTTTTACCAAGTTCAGTTCTAACTTTTGGCACCTTCATCATAATGATGTCCTGAGAGCGCAGATCATAATGGCTACAGGTTCTAGACAGAAATGAGCATAAATATGAAGGAAGATGCCCAAGAATGCTTTTATAGATAAAAATCAACCAGCGATAGTCTGCGAACAGTCAAAGATGGACATTTTGCTGTAGCATACAAAGTGCAGTGATGTGTTTGATAGCTACAGTTTGTCATGAAGCGCAGTGCACAGTGATAAACAGCATCAATTTTTTTAAAAAGCTGGGCTGAACAGTTCATGAAAAGCAAATCTCCATAACCCATCAGGGGAAGAATAGTTGAGGTAACCAGGTGTCTTCTGACTTGGTGTGAGAAACACTTTGTTTCTAAAAAAAAAAGAAACCCTAATTTAAGTTTCAGCTTTGAAACCAGTTTATCAATATGAGTTTTGAATGATAAATTCTCATCAATCAGAATACCTAAATATTTGTAGCCCCTGACAACCTCAATTTCAACCCCCTGAACAGTTAACAAGCTGGGAAGGAGTGGTGGGAGCTGCTTACCGTTGGAGAATAGCATGGCCTTTGACTTATTTGCATTCAGAACAAGCTTAAGCCCAGCCAAACGTGACTGAACAACATCAAAAGCAGATTGCAGAAGTTTAAATGATTCTTAAACTGATGAAGATGAACAATAAATAACCGTATCATCAGCATAAAGATGAGTTTCAGCATCAGGTAAGTCATCACACAGGTTATTAACATAAATCGTGAACAACAAAGGCTCGAGAGGCCATGACGCCAGTAGGGGTGTAAGAAAATATCGATACACTGAAATATCGCGATATTTCATTTCCCCGATACTGTATCGATATTCTAAAGCCCTGTATCGATTTTTTATTAAGGTTTAAAATGTCAACTTTCCTGCCAGCCGTTCATTTTTATGTTGTAGTTCAGCCTCTGACCACTAGTTGGCAGCAGTGAGCCAGCCATTTGGCTACTCTACCTCGAAATCGCAATATATCGGGATATATCGCAATATATCGCCTTGTTTACAGTATCGAAATATATCGGGATATATCGCAATATATC